GGCTAAGGGAGTGAACCCCGACAGAAAATCAGGAGTGGGGCCCCTCAGGCGGTTTTGTGACGCACTGCGGCACATTCCCGGCGGCCCCTGCAGCCAAACTGGTACCAAACGTCGTGCTACGCACTCCTTTGGACATCACCAGCAAGGCCGAGGGGGGGATCCTGACGCATGGGCAACCCAGGATTTCCAGAATAACCTGCCCGGGCTTTGCGCCAACAGGAGGTGCAAAAATGGGGAGAGGACACTCCTCGGCCACCTAATCGTGGCCAAGAAACACGGATGGCAGCAGTCACGGGTTATACGCTCATTATAGATTGGCATAAAAAATGGGCGCCACGGGTTGCCATCGTCGGTGGGAGGGATCATTGCACCCCAATGGATAGCTACCGCCACCCGCCTCAAGCTGGGCAGCCCCCGGCCAATAAGGTGCTTTCCCGCCATGGCTCACCTGCTCCAATGGGTGCTTGGAGCTTATGGTTCATCACCAGACAGGTGGGCTGCAAAACCTGCACCAGACAAAAGCAAAACAAAACGAAAGAAGGTTCCAGCCCTTCATTTTGCAAGCTGGAATGTACGTGCAATGTGTGCTGGACTGTCCGAAGATCTATTGCAGATTGAGGACATTCACAAGACTGCAGTTATCGATAGACAGGGAGTTGGCGAGACTCCATGTCGATATTGCAGTACTGCAGGAGACCCGGCTTGCTGGCAGTGGCTCACTACGAGAGAGTGACTACACTTTCTACTGGCAAGGAAAACAGCAGAACGAACCAAGGCAACACGGTGTTGGGTTCGCCGTCAAAAACACACTCCTTGGCATGATAGAACCACCGACTGCAGGCTCCGAGCGGATTCTACTCATGAGATTTCTCACTGCTTCTGGCCATGCAAACATCCTGAGTGTCCACGCCCCAACACTCTACTCACCTCCGGAGATTAATGACCAGTTCTATGAAGAGCTTCACAATATTATTCGCAAAATCCCCAGCTCTGAGCACATGTTTCTATTGGGAGACTTCAATGCAAGGGTTGGGGCTGACCACGACGCGTGGCCCGCATGCCTTGGCTATCATGGCATTGTAAAGATGAATGCCAGTGGCCAAAGACTACTGGAGCTTTGTTCATACCACAATCTCTGTATCACAAGCTCATTCTTTCTCACACAATCATGACATAAAGTATCATGGAGACATCCAAGGTCTCTTAATTGGCACCAACTGGACCTCCTCATCACCCGACGAGCCCTCCTCAACTCGGTACTCATCACACGCAGCTACCACAGTGCAGTCTGTGACACCGATCACTCGCTGGTATCCAGCAAGGTCAGACTACGCCCCAAAAAGATACACGGACTCAAACAAAAGCGCTACCTACGCATCAAGTCTGCCAAGACATCCCTCCCAGAGCTCACTCAATTATTCCAACACAGCCTTGAGCAGTCCCTACACGACACACCAGATGGAAGCGTGGAGAGAAAGTGGGCATACATCAGAGACGCCATCTTCAATGCATCCATCAATACCTTCGGCAAGCAGACAAGGCGGAACACAGGCTGGTTTCAGGAACACCTGGCTATATTGGAACCCATCCTCCAAGCCAAACGCATGGCGCTCCTGAAGTACAAGCAAGTCCAAAGTACAGAATCATTAAGGGCTCTGAAAGCTGCTCGCAGTGCAGCTCAAACGACCGCCAGACGCTGCGCCAACAGCTACTGGGTGGACCTCAGTAGTAGGATCCAACTCACCTCTGACACTGGCAATATCCGTGCCATGTATGAAGGCATCAAGACAGTTTTTGGTCCAAACATCAGGAGGATTGCCCCCCTTAAATCCAGCACAGGGGCCATCATCACTGATAAACAAGAGCAAATGGCCAGGTGGGTAGAACACTACTCAGAGCTCTACTCACGAGACAATGGTGTGTCAGAAGCTGCCCTTGCTGCTGTAATGCCCCTACCAACGATACACGAACTGGACAATGTTCCAACCTTGAAGGAACTTGACAACGCCATCAACTCACTAGCCAGCGGCAAGTCACCGGGACAGGACGGCATCACACCTGAGGTACTGAAATGTGGAAAACCCGCCGTCCTCACAAAACTCCATGAACTTCTCTGCCAGTGCTGGGAAGAAGGAGCAGTGCCTCAAGACATGAGAGACTCCAACATCATCACCCTATATAAAAACAAGGGTGACCGTGGGGACTGCAATAACTACCACGGCATCTCCCTGCTGAGCATCGTGGGGAAAACCTTTGCCCGTGTGGCCCTCAGCAGGTTACAGATGCTAGCTGAGAGGACGTATCCTGAGGCTCAGTGTGGCTTCAGAGCAGGAAGGTCTACAATTGACATGCTTTTCTCCTTGCGTCAACTACAGGAGAAATGTCGAGAACAGAGAATGCCCCTGTACTTGGCATTCATTGATCTTACTAAAGCCTTTGATCTCATCAGTAGGGGATGCCACTTCAAACTCCTCAAAGTGATCGGCTGTCCACCGAAGCTGCTGGCAATCATCTCCTCTTTCCATGACAACATGAAAGGAACAATACAGCACAGCGGCACCACCTCAGAGGAATTTCCCATACTCAGCGGTGTAAAGCAGGGGTGCGTGCTTGCCCCAACACTGTTTGGCATCTTTTTCTCACTTATGCTCACACATGCCTTTGGGACAGCAGAAGAGGGAGTCTTTCTTCACACAATATCTGATGGCAAACTTTTCAACCTTGGCCGTCTCAGATCCAAAACTAAAGTCAGCAAAGTTCTCATTAGAGAACTCCTTTTTGCTGATGATGCTGCGCTGACAGCTCACACAGAACAAGGTTTTCAGACACTCATCGACCACCTTGCCAATGCCTGCAACAACTTTGGCCTGCAAATCAGTCTAAAAAAGACCAATGTCATGGGCCAGGATGTCAGAGACACCCCTTCAATAAACATTGGCAGCTACACCCTGGAAGTCGTTCAGGACTTCACCTACTTGGGTTCTACCAATCACCTACAATTTGTCCCTTGTCACAGAAATTGACAAGCGCATTGGGAAGGCGTCAACAGCTATGTTCAGGTTGACTAAAAGAGTGTGGGAGAACAAATCCCTAACGTTCAACACCAAAGTACAAGCGTACCGGACCTGCGTCCTTAGCACCCTCCTCTATGGGTCTGAGTCCTGGACAACATACGCCCGTCAAGAACATCGACTAAACACATTCCACCTCCGATGTCTCAGGTGCATCCTCGATATCAGATGGCAAGATCACATTCCCAACACCTCAGTTCTCAACTTGGCCAACATTCCCAGCATGTACTCTCTACTCAGTCATAGGCGCCTGAGATGGCTTGGACACGTGCGCCGCATGCAGGATGGCAGAATACCCAAGGATGTCGTGTACGGCGAGCTGGCATCAGGCACACGGGCCACTGGTCGCCCAATCCTGCGCTTCAAAGATGTCTGTAAACGGGACACGAAGAGCTGCGACATCAACCCAAATGACTGGGAGAAAACTGCCGGCGACCGACTCAGCTGGCAGCAGGCCGTGAAAGCAGGCCTCAGGAGAGGCGAGGAGAAAAGACACACTGCTTGGCAGACCAAGAGGGAGCAACGTCAAGAAAAAGCAACAAACACCTCTGGAGCTGCCACCGCATTCACTTGCAATTGCTGTGGCAAGGATTGTCACTCAAGGATTGGCCTACTAAGTCATTCCAGGCGCTGCAAAACCTACAGCTGACCTCGTAAGGAGCAAAAAGAATTGTCTCTCGAGACACAAAGGCCTATGGTAGTGGGTAATAACATTCAGTGTGGAGAAATTGCACACCCCTAACACCGACATTTAATAACTCAGGGTATTAAATTGATTTGAAGCTTTCGTGACTGCAGGAGTTACTCTTTGGTTCTTTCGGTAAAGTCACGTAGAAAGAAAACACATTAAATAATAGAATACGACGTTTAGATTGCAACACAAGCAATCGTCATCAGGTAAGAATAAATGAGAAAACAAACCTAGTAAACTTAGAAATATAATGCAATACAACACAGAGAGTCGGCTAACACAACAGTCAACATCCTACCTGGTTGATTCCGTAATCTTAAATTAAATGTCTGAATTGTTGAGTCCACCATACTAAGAGAATGACTCTGGATTTGAAGCTTTCGTGACTGCAAGGATTCATACTCTTTGTTTTTTTTCGGTAAAGTCACGTAGGTTAAAAAAACAATAAAATAAAAGAAATAACTAAATTAAATCACGACGTTTCGGAGGCAACACAAGCTTCCTTCATCAGATGTAAAAAAAGGCACAGCAAAATAACTGTAGAGAGACCTATTTGTGATGAGAGATTGTTACATAGGGAAAGAGGAGGGGGAGGAGCCAGGGAGGACAGCCGCAGGATGATTTTTTTTACCTACGTGACTTTACTGAAAAAAACAAAGAGAATGACTGCCTGAAATACACAGCCTAAGACCTGACTAACATTCCACAGGTTGTGTTCAACAAGACTAAGACTACAACTTAAATATAAACTACTGATTAAATTAACACTGGTTGCAGGCTACATTACACTCAGTGAAGACCACACGTCCCCCTAGCCTACAGGCCTGCTGGTTGTTACTAATAACCTGTACAATAACAAATACATAATTTGGTTACTGGCTTCTGTGTTATTAACATAGCCAGTGCCTTCAGGGTGGGGGGGAAATTTCACACTCCTAACAGCAACATTTAATAACTGAGAGCAGATTCAATGTTTGACTGCTTTAGTCGATGATACTTTGAGAATGGCTCAACGACATCTGCAGACTAAGTCCTGACTAAAAGTCCGCAGGTTGGCATAAACTCGACGAAGACCACGACTGCATTTTTTTGTAAACACGTCGACCAAATTAACAGTGTACACACGGAGATTTCCGCAAGAAAGTGCAGCACGTGACTATGCAGGCTGCGTGACCTGCAACCACACATTCGTGGCAAAACAGCACACAATTGGCATCGTCTTCTCCCCCCATTGGCAGGCTGAGGCGGCAGCAGACGGACTCGCTCTTTGGGAAGAAGCGGAGTGGAGGACGCTACGAACCCAGCGAAGGTGGAGCTGCAGGGAGCGAGGAGGATGACGGAAATTCCAGCTGACGGCATTACTTGGAGGAGAGGCGGGTGGGGAGAACGATGATGTTGTTGGGTGCTTCGTTTTGTTGTCCTTTCCCCGCACCTCCGATTAGCAGGGTTGGCTACGTACAGCGCGTAAGAAGTTCTACATACATACATATATGTGTGGGTAGCAGAAAGTAGCGAGGAAAGCTAAAGCCAGGGAACTGTTCAAGCAATTTTTGAGGTCACCGGCAAAAACACACTCCATGTTAGAGTCTCAGATTATGAACTCAAGTGATAAATAACATCAACCAGAAGAACATGATCCAGCAATATGCTGTTAAGCTTAAGTGCTCTTTACTTTATTCACAAGGTACAAACCTTGAAATTATAATTTCCTAGGGCTGCGACAATACAATATTTATCATATCCTTTAGGGGGTAATGCTAAGATTGAAAGTGCTGATCACTCCTCTGAAACGTGGCTTTACTGGAGGGCCCCCCCCCCCCCCCCCCCCCCCCATTAATGCAGAGCCCCTCGTGTGGACAGTCCTGTTGCGCTGGCCTGCTCACAACGAATCTAGAGGACAAACGATGGCATTTGCTACGAGCGTTTGCAACGGGTACACAGCGTCAGTTGGATAGTGTCTCACCTCCACCCTTCTTTTATGCCCACTTTTGCATACACACGGAGGTCGAAGCAAGTTAAACGACGTTTCGGCGTGCAGGTTGAACCTTTGGACCAAGCGGCTGGACCACAACTTGACGTGTCGAGTTGTGGCATTTGTTTGCAAAACCCGTTGCATTCCAAACCAATATTTGTATTTTTCTAACGCGTGGCACGTAATCTAAAATACACACTTGTTGGTGTTAATAGCATTGCAGTCCTATGATACCGCATTTCTAATCTCGTTTCACTGTCAAATTAGTATCGGAAGTATTTTATTTGCAGGCGTACACCCAGAGAGAGAATCTTACAGGGATTATCTTACAAACACCCCAGATGCACATCACTGTTTATAGTTCTGCTAAGTTGTATTTATCACAACTCAGAATAACAATGATGAACATTTAACGACCGTTGAGATTTCTGTTCCCGGATCCCTCAAGAATAAATGTTTCTGTTGCGCACAATCTATATCGTGTGGTCCGCTTATTGCTTCCATAAAAAAGCATTAAAAAGTCCTGACACAATCATTACCATCTATCCATTCGCTATCATGGCACACCTTGTTTGAAAAATTTAATGTGCAAGATACAACGTATCATGTTGCATGCTCTCCATAAAGACAAAAACAGTTTGTATTGATTGTTTTGAATGTGCTGTCATGTACATTGAGTTAAATGATGCTTGTCAACGATATTATAATAGTCACCATAAAACCCAGGTTTCAGGGCAGCAGGGATCTCAATAAGTAAGGTTATGAGGAAATCTGGGCCATCCAATTATTTAAGTAATCGATTACTCTACCGATTGTCAGTTGGGTTACCCGACTAACCAGATATCACAAAATTAATAAAGGGGCAAATGTTTACCTCTTGTGCCAGGTGTGCCTCTGGATGGGAGGTAATGGGGGGCGGTGGTAGGGCTTGATTTGTCATCGTGAGCCGTGCTAGGCGTGGCTGCTAAGGGCAGCCCCCATATTTAAAAAAAGGAGCCCAACTAATCGAACGTAAAAAAAAATGTTCGTCGATTCATTCATCTCAAAGTTGTGAGTTCGAATCTCGGACAGGGTTGAGTCGGCCCCATCGTCTCTTGCAAGTTGGCAATACACACACCACCTGATTTAGGCCGGAAGGTGGGGCAGTGGTTTGCATGAGTTTGTGTTCAGTTTGTTGTCCTTCCCCCGCACCTCCGATGAGCACGTTTGGCTATGTGCGGCGCGAAAGAAGTTCAGCATACACGCAGGATAAAGTGATTGTTTGCCTGGTGGCCACAGCGGAACCTCCATTCTTGTTGAAGAGAGATGAACATTCCATCTCCGTGCCAGCGCCAGAAATCTACAATGAGAGGACCAGCAGCGGGAAGCCCCGACCCTCGAAGGGGAGGGGCTGGTGCCAAGAGCTCACGGCGGCCACTGCCAAAGCGCTCCGTCGCTCTGGAGACCTCACAATGGTTTTGGGGCAAGGTCCGGCATCTTCTGTGGGGGCCTCAGGCGAGGCGGTGATTAATTTCCGCCTCGCACCACAGCTGCGCCCTCTTCCCTTCACGTTCAGACCTTCTGTCTGAGTGGGGGCGTACGTTAGCGAGACCTGTAAAACCCTGCGTCTCACGGCGTGGCCATTGGTAAGGAGGTGGTTCCCCCAGCTCAGGCCTTCGCTGCAGGCCATCCGCTTGGAGGATTTTACGGCTTTCATTTGGCGTTATTTCTGCCTCTGGTGTCAATTCTGGGGTTTGGCTCCCACCTATTGCGGAGCAGCTCCACTCACTAAATGATTTTTTTTTTTACCAGGTAAGGCCCACTGAGCTGTAACAGCTCTTTTTCAGAAGCGACCTGGCCACAAATGATAGCCCAACTAAATGTCTTATCAGGTGGAAATGTATAGCAACCGAATACTATGAACGCGTGATGTTGATTCTAAATTTGGAGGGGAAAACTGGAGGACCCCGAGAAAAAGCCACGACCACGGTAAGAGCACGCAAACTCAAAATATACCGGCGTCAGGGTTGGGATCGAACCCACGAATTGTATACCAGGCGAGGTAGTTAACATCTCGCCACCGTGGCCTCCCAGTTCCTTGTGGAGGGGTTTCAACGAGGCGGTTCTCTGTTCTCAAGGTCAGGGCGTCTGCAATTTCTGCCTTCCACGTGAATGTTGGAGTGGGGGGTAAGGCTGATAGATGTCCTCTTCGATCTTGCCACGCATGTTTTTGGGGCTATTTCCTAGGTACGCCCCCTGATAAGGTCAGAGGTCGCTCCTTATGACTTGCATCTGCTCCTTACCATCTTGGCGGCCCCTCCATTTCAGTCCCCCCCCCACCCCCGGCTACCTGCTCACTCAAGTTACCGGCTCTCAAAAGGTTTTTCTTGATTGCCATCACGTCGGCAAGGAAGAGGGTGAGCGAGCCCCAGTCCCTGATGGAAATCCCCCCCTCCCCTTCGCGGCGACCACCAGGGAGCATGCCGTCCTTCGCACATCCCCCTCTGTTCGTCCTGAAAAGTTCGTCACAATTCCACGTGAACCAGTGGAGCATTTGCGCCACTTTTTTCAAAAAAAATCTTGCTGTGGTTTTCACACCTGATGATGATTGCTTGTGTTGCAGTCGAAACGTCGTGAGAATTGTATTGTTTTTCATATTTTTATTATTTTATTGTTTCCCTTCTACGTCACTTTACCGAAAGAACCAAGAATATGAATTCCTGCAGTCACGAAAGCTTTAAATCGAAATTCAGTGGAGCATTGTCTCCCTCTTTCTGCCCGCCTCCTTTCCGCTCCCCTTAAAAAAGCAGCATTTAGGGCCTTTGTCCTTCCATCTAAATCGTTCTTTGAGCCAGCGCATATCTGACCCAGCTGTTCCTCCATTTTTTGGTGGTCCTCGTCACGGAGGTCTGGCAATGTACACAGGAGGCTTACGCCGTCAGGGGGCGGGGGGGCCGGTCCTCCGCCGACCCGGTGAAATCCCCACTCTACGCGCGCGGTGGCCACCTCCTAAGCCAGCAGGGCCGGGGTGCCTCTGGCTGAGATATGTTCGGCAGCGGTTTAGAACTCGCCTCCTTCACATTCACAGTGCTATTGTCGTCTTGGTGGCCTGGTGGCCAGGGTGTAAAGCCTCTCGTTGGCCGTGTCGTAGTGAAACCGCTCCCTTTGTGGGTTTTTTCTCTCCTCATTTAAAGCCGCGGTTTGTTTTTTGTGCCCTCATTTTTAGTTTCCGCTCGGTTATTACTCGTTCATCTCTTCATAACAGTGGCGTGTGGCGGTGGCCACCGGTGAAAACGAGGCTTAACTTGAGGACTGCAAATAGATGCAAGCACCACACATTTCGAGTGTGGTCACGTGGACACATTGGCTGTAGGAAATTGTAAATTATGTTCAAGATACATTTAGGCAGGAGACCGTGGCAAAAAAACCTACATTCATAAGTTAGCATCTGAAATGTATAATTTAAGGGGCAGGATTATAGTGCATGGTATGCTGCGATAGCACATTATCATCTTAGGAAAAAGAGAGGTGAGGCCAAGTCAAAGGTCAGTGATCCTTGGTAAATTCGGTTAGGCTAGTGGATTCAAGGCAATATTGGATGCACTATTCCTTTCTAAATCAGTCCATTATACCACAATTGTGATTGAATTGAGGTTTATTCTATTTGTGTGCATTTCCCATATAAGACAAAGAAATCACTCTTAAGAGAAGGCTGATACTTGATCGTGAAAGCAAGCATTGACGAAAGTCCGTTGTTGGTTCCCAAAGAGCATTTGTGCAATTGTGAAGTCTTCATCAAAGGAACCCTCCTGTTCATTTCATATCCAGTGGCCAATTAAATGCCTTGCTGCCAATTCAATAGATGCAGTTATTATGCTCAGCGGTGATGGGATCTCTAGTCTTCCCTGTGCTCGACTTGAGGCACACCTTCCATAAAATGACTTCCCATAAAATCGAAAAATGAAAATACAAATTTTATTTATTTGTATTTACCACTTACCTTTCTTACACTATTCGTTGCACACGGTTGCACTTTATTTTTGCGCGCGAGTTCCAATTTACTTTGCTCGGTCGGTGTTAGCCGCTGAAATCTTGATGGTTTTCTTTTCTCATTCCTATTGGCTATATGCCCCCTGTATCGTACCCATTCTAGTGTAATGTGCACTGGTGCCTACTTTACTGAGGGCCGTATTGGCACGTAAAATGATTGATTGATTGACACCTCACGTGGGTGCACGACTGATGAACGAGTCACTCTCCAATGGCTGTTTTTGGAGGCTCCCCCTTTCCGCTCAGTGACGGGGTACAAATAGACGCCTCCATTGAGGCCGACATAATATCGATCAAGGCAACGTTTATTCTGTAATTTCTGAGGGTATATTTTTTTCTTTTTTAGAGAAAGCAGCCCTTTTTGCCCGCTTTCTCTAAGCCCCACTAATTTAATTGTGTTTGCCGATTCAAGCGATGCCGAGTTATAATAGAGTGATTCACGGCTGTGTAGGTTTTTTTTTTGCTTACGGCTGTGCTGTATGGATCTCGTATACCAAGGTTATTGTGCATGTTGTTTCAGCATGATGTCCGATGTTTCGCTCCACATGCTTGGGAGCTGCTGCAGGAACTGCCATATCTATCGTGCGTAAAACACGCAATGCAACTGGAAAACACATTGTAGATCAATGCAATGATGCACAAACACACTTTTTTGGGTCAAACGTTACATATGATTAGAAAAAAAGACGATTGGCAAATACGTTGGTTCAAGTTGAGCAATAGCTGCTGGGAGGCATTTCGCAAAACAATACATGTGAAAATTCAATTTCCAAAATGCCTTCTAATACAGCACACCGTGCATAGATAATACAGCTCGGC